TAATACATCTTGAAAAAAGATCATTCATCATTTTCCCAATTTTCTGTCCGAAATTCCTGTAGTCAAATAACCAAGCCCTACTCACTGAGTTGAATTGTTTATCGGACATGTATTGTATGTGTTATAAATTGTTTATCCCTTGGAAGGTGTGGGCTAGGGGAGCGTTCCAGTAAATCGTTGGATTTCTGCGCGTGCTCATTAATATTTTATGATGGGGTTTTTACAATAAGAAATGTCATAATCAGTAAGGATCATATAAATATTTCCATAAATCCCGAATTTGGGACTGTCAGTTTCAAGTTCAGAGTATTTTGTTTACAAAAAGCCCCAAATTGCGGGCCTATTTTGGATAGAGGCGGGCGGCAACATTCAGAGCTGAGCGCATAGGTTTACTGTTTTGGGGGGATCTTTGGGGAAAGGCGCAAAAAAAAAAATGGTGGCGAACCTCCATGAAATGGAAACGAAACGTGATCTTCTGGCCATAATCTTGAATTTCCAGTAAAAAAAACAGAGGCCGACCTCTTCGAGAGAGCCAACAGGCGGCGCCATTTCAGTTTGATTTTGTACTGTATTTTATGTGCGCGTATTTGGTGTAGTACAACCCGAGGCTGCACGGGAGTGCCTGCCCAATTTCCTCAGATAACTGTTTCCATTTTTTTTTAAATTTGCATTGTTTTATTTCGCCACTTAATGTAATATTTAATACTGTTAATTACCCTCATTTAATCCGCTTGTGATTATAGAGTAGTTTGATGGCAGATTTGAGGAGATGAAGATTTTTTAAAGGTGGCATTTTGAAGTCGATAGAGGGAGTACTGCGGTGAAGGGCCGCAGGATTTTGTGGCCCGTGTATCGGTAGCCTAGATACATGTACCTGTGACGTGCTGCGTGCGGTCTGCCTACACGTGCAAAGCTACAGTGAAGAATAAATTGTGTATTACACCGGTCTTGAGGTTTTCTTGGCAGCGAGGAAAAATTCAACAGGAAATGGATAATTGTTTTAGTTGTCAACTATTTTTCTTTCTGCTGAAATGGATGTCTCGGTAGGTCATAGACTGTAGGTTATTTTGTGCATTCAGGAGCATTTGAGTGCATGTGGTGAATGGTAGTGTGGTCAGCCAGCGGCCGGGGTTGGCCCGGACACTTGTGTTTCTTCCTCGATGCCCAATTGCACTCTGCCAACATTAACATACTGAAGTCACATTTTCCACAGGCCGGGTCTCTGACCCCAAACAATAAATCTGCAGTATCGCAGTTTTCACAACCCACCAATCCCCCTGCTCTCCGACCTCACCCCGAACCTGCGTGCCTCCTTCCTAGCGCCGTGGAGCAAAGTCTTTCCACCAGGCACAACCCCTCCCCCCGCTGCAAGACAGCCAACCCCTCCACACCTGAAAGAAGTCACCTGTGATAACAACTGTAAAACTAAAGAGAAATCTGTCTGGGGAAGTTAGATGATCAAAAGATATTCAATGGCAATGTGTTACAGAATTCAAATCAGTTACTCCGTGTGCAGTTTTGTTGTGGACCTGAAAGGGGCACAAATTCTATTTTTCATAATGGCTTCGCATCTCATTTGCAGTTGGTTTGCTTGTAGAGAAAGCTTATCCAATATGAACTTATCCAATCATGTTATGTTTTCATACTTATGCCTTGAAGCAGCATAAGCCATCATGTAAGTCCTTCCCCTGTCTTGGCTCCCTCATATTTCATTTCAACAATAACCAAGTTTAAAATAAAATGAATTTGACCCAGTGTCATTTGGATATTTGTCCCTTGACCCAAGATGAGTTTGGCACATCGTGGTATTGATTTCAGAGGGGGTCGTATACAGATTCCAGATTTTGCCCAAAGCTGTTAGTAACGAGTGATTTCGTCTCGCCTCCGAATTTTTGCCAGGACGACAAACGACGAAAGAGGAATTAACCCAATGCCACATCATTGTTGTGTAACGAGAATTACGTAACAGGCTTATTCGGTTTCGGAGACGTCGGCGGCTTTCGCCTCCTCTATTATTCATGGCACAGGTGAGGCACATCTTCATCTTTGTAGATTAGAATCTTCCTGAGGCTTCGCCAAAACTTGAGGCTGAGTGATCCTGGGAGGTGAAACTTTTTCGCTGCAGAAACATAATTTTGCTCGAAGGTAGGCCCACTTCAATCTTTTATAATGAGCTACTGAAATGTGTAATACAACGCATGGACTTATCTTGTTTACGCGGTTATGTGAGGGAACGGTATGTGTACATGTAATAATGGCGGCAACTCTGCTTATACTGTATTTCGAAGATTCAGGTGATGTCGTTGGGTTTTTGAGAGGAGCAAAAGTAGTATGCTTCTAAATCGATTTGTTTAAGGCGTCCAAGATTAAACGTGCTGTAACAATAATGTCTCTATTTCACTGATTTTATTCAAAATAAATTATGGGCGACATCCGAACTCCGTTGCCGGGAAATTTAGGGTTATCGTGTATGAAAGTTTCAAAATTCAGAGGATGAAACATTGATGGGGAGTGGTCGTATGACTGAACCTCGGTCGAAAAGTGACGGAGAAGTGCAATGAACTCTTATGCAAGCCACTTACAAGCTGTTTCTGTCGTTATTGGGGAGCCACTCATGGCCATTCCTCGTGTATGAAATGATGCCCCTTTATGAGATGTTTTCTCTTCCCAAATCAGCGTTAATGATACATGTTTCTTACGTGGCGTCCAACATGCGTGGATAATGAAGTTCATGGGGGCGAGGTATCTAGTTCACATCCCGCTAGACGAGTCCGTTTTGCATGAACCGTTGCTTCACCGCCCGTTCAAAATGACGACTGTCTTGCCAAAGTGCCAGAACAGGGCAGAGTTGGAAATGACAGGAAGTTACATACCGAAGAGGGTGGGCGGTGGGAAAAGCAAACTTTTTTTGTATTTTCATAAATGGTACCATTGATTGAAGTCAACTCCCTGGAATCAAGACGGCAATGGATTGTTGTGGCAGTCCTTATTTGTGTACATAATTATGTAGTATTACGTTGTATTCTTATAAATTTGTATTTCATTAGAACAATGCCACCACTTTGCCAACTCCCTTGGTTAAATTAAGACTGATGTAACTCCAGGTGCTGGACGCTGTCTCCTTTTGAGGTTTGTGTCGTTATGAAGATCTCTTAATGCTGTGTTCTGTAAGTGTCCGCTATTTGTTTTCCGGCAATAGAGTAGACATGATAACATCAAAACTGCTTGTCGCCCTCCTTGTGGCCGCAGTTGCCTCGCTATCGAGCGCCCTCACCGACGAACAGATCGTCAGCTTCATGACCACGGCCTCTGTCGAGACCAACACAGGTCAGACGGGGATGGTGAGCATCGTCACGGCCGACAGGATGCACACCATCACCAGCAACGGGGTGCCGGACCACCCGACCCCCGAGTACCCGAACCAGGGGAACCCCAACGACATCGTAGTGCAGGCGCACCAATGGACGGTGCCGGTCAACCCCACCGTGGCCACCTCCACTACGGAGCTCCCGCTGGGGCCTATCAGTGTGGCCATCAACGGGATTCCGTTCTTCAACCCTTACACGGCCAAAGGTAGCGTAAGAATAAGAGCCTTGGGGTAACCATTTGCGGGAGAAAACACTCATTATGGCAGTGTCATATTTTCTATTGTTTTTTAGGGTTATTGCTAGGGGCACGAATTCAAGCGGATATTGTGTCCAGCAATCTCTCCTCCCCTGAATGTTCAGGGCCAGGAAAGTTTTTGAAATTAGGCCTAATCCATCCCTGATCATCCTAGCCCCCCCCCGGCACAGATTTTGGCCACCGTTGTTTGTCCATTTTTGCATATTTAGGCCTACTCATTACACGCCATACTGAAACTATTTTTTAATATAAATTCTAGGCGAAGATGCGGTACTGACGGAAACCTTTGACAGCTGCGACGGTCACCCGACCAATCGAGGCGTCTACCATTATCACAAGCAGCCGTCCTCCTGCGTCTTCGACATCGTGTCGGGCGAGCCGTCCCCGCTCATCGGCGTGGCGCTGGACGGGTTCCCCATCTACGGCCCCATCGACGAGAACGGCGTGGAGCTGACTTCGGCCGACCTGGACGAGTGCCACGGCCGCTTCGTGGACGGCAAGTACCGCTACCACACCACAGCCGACTTCCCGTACATCATGGGGTGCTTCAAGGGCACTTACAGCGGTTCAGCCGCAGGTGGACGACCGCCACCCGGACAAGGAGGAGGCAATGACAACGACAACAGCGGTGGTGCTGGTGGTCACAGTGGACTGAAAACCATCATCGGTGTGATCCTCTTAGGCTGTACTACGGCTGCCTTTTCTATCAACTCCACGTAAAGTGTTACCACTCAGTAATTGAGGCAAATAGCTATATTTCTTTCAACTCGTTTGTAGATTTACCAACATTTGTCGGAAAATTTGTTGTAACCAACGATTCTGTCTCTTATGTGCAGTAACTCTCCACTGAATTATTTAGTCGGGACTAATTTCGAACTAGAAGAAAGTTCTTTCGTTTCATTATGCATTTTAAATTTAAAAGGACTTCATTGACACTAACGCCTTTGAGAGGTTTCATCCTGTCTCCAGAATTGGACGAAATGATAACAGGCTCAATTCCGACATCCCTTTTGCCCTGAGTGATTGTTTTAAGTATTCCGTTTTTGCTTGTACAGCAATTGAGTGGAATAATCTACCTTAGCGCGTGATCAAAACTACCGGTACGTCTCAGAATTTATTTCATTTTAAATTTATTTTTAGTCTAGTAATTTTTGAGTAGTAAGTTTTTATTCATTAAACCCGGGAAGGGGTTCGCGATGGACTGGGGGGTCTTTTACCACAACCCCTTGACAATATCAGAAATTAATGATAATAAGCATCATTTTTATTAACACTATAAGGTGAGTTTTAATGTGTGATCCAAAGCGGAGGTACAATCGCCCTTCTTGGGTCAGTAGATACATGTAAATAGGGGTTTCCTGTTGCCCACACTATTAGATAACATGAATCTATAAATGAATTTAAAAACAAGTATAATTTATGTCACTTTAGCAAGCAAAAATAACCTAAATAATAAAAATAAAATAATAATAAATAAAATAACCTTCTGACCCCATCTGAGCAATCTGTTCTTCAAAGTAAGTTTTGTTGTTGGAGAGCTTTTCAATCCGGCTACATTTATATCCCAACACTTAGCTTTAATAATTAAAAGCATGAAAAGTTAGTCATTATGACGAAGAATCCTCTGATGGAAGTGATGTAACTGACATCAGTGAGTGAATTTGGTTTCGCGTATAGCGCGTATTAAATGCTACTGATGTGCTGGCATGTCGTGTATATAGCGCCTTTTACCCCAGATGGAGGACTAGAAGTTTGGTTTCCTTTTCTTTTGGGGAGGGGTGTTCAATAGCACATTAGCTGTCAACACAGTCTTCGATCCAAGACGCCTTTCGCAGTGCTGCGATCCGAGATGCGTGCCATACCATGATTAATGTGGAGGACAACTTATTCGATTCAATATGACAGCGCCCTCTTTTTATGCGTACCAGCCGCTGCACGCGCTTCCAGTGATAGCGATTCCTCTAGTAATGGTCGAGTTCTGGCGGCCTATTCTTGACACGAGTTTCGTGTTCTCGCGCTCGAACGGCGGGAACATGACCCCAAAACACTGTTCTTGGAACAGGTTCATACACCACCTCCTCATCAGGGTTTTACACGAACACACGGAAAAACTCGTGAAATTTGATTTTTGAAAAGCTGCAAAAACTATCGAGGTGGCTTAAAAAGCTGGAAACAATGGAAACTTTCTAAAATTAACAATAAGTTTCCATGACAGAAATGATTTTTAATGGAAAAGAAGTTAGCCCAATTATCCAAACATTAACTTAATGTTTATCCAAACATTAACTTTCGAAGAATGCATAAGGATGACGCCATGTTGCTTGCAGCTACAAATAACTAGTACCCATATCCGGTTGTACGTTCCCGACGTTCGAGCGGCCGAACAACAAATCGAGCTGTTCGTGAACACACGAGAACAAGCAGCCCGAACTCAGCCAATGATTCGTGTCGCTGATAGTGATTTGTCATGTGACGGTATGGGTCGCTGAATAAACTACGAGAGGGTCTTTGAACCAAGACTACCATCAACACTTGAAGCTGCCCGTAGGATTACGTGCGATCACCATGGCCATGCCGGGCCGTCCACACGTGGTGGTGGTATTGTTTGGATTCAGCGCCATCCAGTCACGTGGGGGAAAAAGGTCTAGAGAGTAACGAAGTGAATACGTCACACGCACGTAATAGGCATTAGCGCAAGAACATCGCTAATTTCAATGTAGGCCTAGCCTACTAAGTTTCTTTAATTTCTGATGCATTTTCTTAAGCTTACTCATTTTGTCAATTTCTAGGTATCAAGTTCCTTTAATTATAAATGTAAATTAAAAAAAAAGGATGGAATAAACGTCTTCTTGAATCTTGAACATGCAAATAAGCCAACACACACGCGTATTCCATTTGTTTGGACTGTGCTCTCTGGTTCAAAATTACGTCTCCAGGCGAATAAATTTTTTTTCGTTGCTAACCCCCAAAAACTGAAACGAAAAGTGCTCTTCTGGCCATGATCTTGAATTTCTAGTGAAAACCGGAGGCCAACCTCTTCACGAGAGTCAACACTCGGGCGACGCGTCGCTATTTCGAGCTGATTTTGCACTGTTTTCTATGGGCGCGTACGCAGGCATGTATTTCGTGCAAACCATACGCGTAGCGCATCTGCGTCGACACATCTGTTTCGCAAAATGACTGGTAGCCAGTCTAACTACATCGTCATGTGACGTCAGACATTGTTTGGGTGACAACAAACATGGCGACGACCGTGAGCTGAACCAGTGAGCCTCGCCGATACTTCATGTAGCCTACAAATTAAATTGTAACTGTTATATTGTTACGTGCTAAGTAAGATAGCCGAGTTTAAGACCTCTTCAGGCTACTCCGACTGAGGATCTGTAGTTCAGACTAGTGAGAGGTTTTTATTGAGTGTACAGACTGAAATTAATCGCATTTATGGGTGAAATAATTCCCGTCAGTAAAACTTCAACGACAGCGGATGAAGCCAGCAGAATGAATGACTTGTTAGACGACGAAAGGCTGCAGGACTTGTATGCGTGGGTCGACGAAATTCCATTAAGCAGGGTAAAAAAAAACATGACTCGTGATTTCAGTGATGGCGGTGAGTCCTTTTGTTTCCAGGCTGACAGCATTTAGCAGTTTAGAGTGTCATTACATAGCCCTAGCCTAGCCCCATTACAGGGGAGCGCAGCGTACCGTAGGCCACATTAATGGGGCTAGCCCTAGCCCAGGTTGGAAATTGTCTTCATCTCATTAGGACTGGGCTAGAGTGTCATAAACACCAACATAAAATATTCTGACAGAAGCTTTAAGAAAAGGTGCCCTCTTGTCTTGTTAATTTGAGGGTGATCAACTTGGCCCACACATAGGGCTGTGAATGGCTCAGTGAAGCGCAGTCTTGAACCTTGTGCGGACTTATCATGCTTATTGTACAGTTGTACTAACTTCTGAGTTGATTATCCTATGAGTGGATGTTATTCAAAGGCAAATCGACTCAGGATGGAATGCAGTAAATTTGTGCAAGGTTCTAGATTGCACTTAACAGCTCTCTTTCAAACCGAGTAGCAACGTTCTTCTCCAGATATTTTGGTAATGAGGGGAAGCGAAAACCTTTCACGCAGCAGTGAATGCTTCCCTTGGTTTTAAGGAGGTAAAGGTGTTTTCAAATGGTACAAAAAGTGAACCTATTTTGAAAATGAATTTGGTCGACCTCCGACCACTGTGTACCGCCCATGAGTGTGGGGCGCAGGGTAGGGAGGCAGTCCAGTATCTGGGCCCCGTTTATGGGGCTAGTTTTGACTGAGGCTCATGTAACTCAAACTGTAATGCTTATGACATTTGGTTTGTGTATCTGGACATGGGGATTCTTGATTTTTCTGAAATATTTTAAAAAAAAAGCAACCCTCCCAAAGCACGAGACCTTTATCTGAAAAAAAAAAGGTTTAAAATGCCTTGGTGAAAACTTCAGTAACAGTTAAACAAGTGTTGTTTTCATTAAAGCATGTCAAGCTATCTGATCCACATTTTCCCTATAAAGTAGGCCTGAATTACAATTTTGGCATTTTTTCTTACCATTCCAATCCTCTGCAGTCTTGGTGGCAGAGATCGTTCACCATTTTGTACCAAAGATTGTTGAGCTTCACAACTACACACCGGCCAACTCCACCCAGCAGAAGATGAGCAACTGGGGAACCCTTAACAGGTACAAGCAATTGGTGAATATGGCGTTGAAATTTCATTCTTTTGAAAGGCATCCTTTTCTCTCTTTGCAAGCTCAAAATGCATCTGTAAGTGTTTCAGTGAGGCCTACATTTTCATGTAGGAGGATGGGTACACTGTTTATGAAATGCCATTATTTTGTGATACATTGGGGGGGGGGAAACTTCTTTCCCACACTCTCTGAATGTGCCCTCAAAAATGAAAGTAATTTTCCTTTGCTGCACAAGTTAGTTTAAACCTCCTTTAGTTTTAAAGCACAAATATGCACAAGTGCCCAAGGTCACTCTCTTGCATGTTGGTGCAGTGCATGCATGGGTTCGAGTCCCACCCGAGTAAGCTTGTGAGGTTTTTTTTTGTCGCAAGCTCTCGGACAAGCACTGAGCATACAGTGCTTATTAATATACGTTGGGTACGGGCAAACCGTTATGTATAACTTCTTTGAGGTGTTTACCAAGTGACCCAAAGAGTGACTTCAGCATAGGAGGGTTAATGAGCACCACATGACATAAAAGGAAACATGAGACTAGAAATATCATTGGAGGGAGAAGGAAAATTGCATAATAATGGTCACCTGCTGTAATGGAATTTTTTGGCAAGAAAACAGTTGACCTCAGAATATTTAGCACTTTATTGGTTGAAAAAGTATATAATGAAAAAAACTTCTATCCTGTTCAATGCTCAGTGATGTGTTGAGTCAGAACTTGTTGACATCATCTTGAATTGCTTTCAGGTGTGCAGCTGCTGACTTTTTTGGAAATGATCTTTCATTTGCCATGAGATTTTTACATGTTTGTGGATATACTCTTGCGTGAGGCTTCTGTGGAGAGGCACATTTCTCGTGAGCTAACTGGTAACTTTCCTGTTAACGTGCTTCATGTACATGCGGTGCTTGTCTGTCACAGGAAAGTATTTCCTAAGCTGGGTTTCAGCGTGCAAGAGATGGTAATGCGGAGTATTTGCAACAGCAGACCCGGGGTGGTCGAGGCATTCCTGTGGCAGTTGAGGCAAAAGTTAGACACCTATCTCAGACAAAGCAACAAATCTGACAAGGTATGTGTGTTGGATCTGATGTTTTCTACAAAAGAAATATCATTCAAGGCCGTGTTGAAAGTGAAAAGTACCTTGTTGTCCAGGATTGTTGAAAAGAGGGACAACAGGAGGCTATTTTTCTCCTTGATTAAGCAGAGGCGTTTTCTTGTCTGTGGTATTTGTTCTTGATGAGCCATTGCCCTTGTTGGCTTTCTCCAAGCACCCTGCTCAAAATGTTACAAACATGCAGTGGTGAGTTTTGTGGCATTGAGGAGTGTGACCAATAAACACTAGCCTCGGTTCTACCACAGCACATGAAAAAAATTCACAGCTTTCGACGACAGTGGCATTCTCTTGTCTGTGATATGGTTAGGGTAAAAGAAGGCTCAGGGGGCTTAGAAACAAACGAGTTGGTTTTAATTTCAGCGCCACCGTCCATAGTGGATTATTAGATCATGAGAACTGTTATTCCATGGATTAGACAGAAAAATTCAATTTTCTCAGTTGTGTTCTGTTTGCTGGCATGTGCATTTTCATTGGTTACAGGTTAGTCCTGATGGTTACCATGGTGGAAAGGAAGTTGGCTCCGGTGCTGGCAAGGTGGACAAAATGCAAGGTGAAAAAATGCTAATCAGACAAGAATGGTGTATTGTCTCCAAGCACTTCCTCATACTACATTTGTGGTAGCCTTTAGTCACATAGACTTCTCTTTGCTGTTTTTTGTTTTAAACGATTGGATTTGGTGGAGAATAGGTTGAAAAGGATGCAACCAGAACAAGAAAATAACTCCACAAATGACTGTGCATTGCTCAGTTTTATAGAGCTGAGTCAATTCGAATGATTTACTATGTGAAAATTTGACCTTGAGTTTGATCAAATATCTGAATATTTGGTCGTACCGACCGGCAGATTGTTGATGAACAAACCATTATAATGCACACAATTGTACATGATAATCAATATAATAGCTTCTCACTTCTAGGGTATCTCCAGCCACGATTTAGCAAGATTTAAGAGACGAACAATACTTTTGTCTTGTTGAAAATTTCTATTCCTTCAAAATTTGTAATGCATACATGTAATTTTCTTTTTGAATCTTAGTAACATACTTATTCTGTCACTTTTCATGGGAATCTGCTTGAAACAAGCCTCCATAGGGGGATTTTTCTCATTTAAAACAAAACAAAATCCTCCCTTCCTTTTCGTGACTTTTGCATTTGAATATTCAAATTTGGAAAATAATAACTTGAATATTCGGATACACAGCACAGTCCTACATTTCTGTAGACCAGTAGTTGACCGACTAAACTCGTGCACCCTGCAAATGGCACACAGTATGCTCCAACCACTCTCCACACGTTGAGCTTTAAACTGTGCAAGAATGTGTGTTGTTAATCATGGTTATGATTAGTCAGATCAACACAGAACGGGGCTTTTTTGATTGACTAAAGTGACAGCCGTCTGCATATAAATGGGATTGATGATGCAGGATTTTTACTTTCGTTCTGTTTTTTCTTCCTACTTTGGCAGGCCGTGCTGGAGGGAGCAAAGCTCCTAAACACCCACCTCAAGCTCCCAAGGCACCCACCGTGCACACCAGCACCAAAGGGGCAAGGTAGAACTAGCTCCCACTTGCCCCTTCCAACTCCACGCCTACTCCATCCTAGCCCCACCCTACCCCACTAACCAGAACCCTACCCTAACCCACCCAACCCTGGCCCACCCAAGCCCTGACCCACCCCCATTCCATCCTAACCCTATCCTCCCCCACTAACCAGAACCCTACCCTAACCCATCCAACCCTGGCCCACCCAAGCCAAGCCCTGACCCACCCCCATTCCATCCTAACCCCATCCTCCCCCACTAACCAGAACCACATCCCACCCCACAAACCCATCCAACCGTAATTCCGACCCACCCCATTACAGAGAGAGGTGCACCAACTTCAGACTTTAGAACCAAAATGGCGGTAACTGTACATTAAGTGTGCAGTACAGCATGCAGCTGTTGTGTGCTACTTGCCCATCTGCACTTCCGCATAATCCACCGTGTTCCAACAACCGATACACTCACATCGCTACTCTCTCTATAAACAGCTCTCATTCCATCTTACCCAACATCCACCATGTCTCCTAACTCCTTCTGGCCCCATTTTTATGGAATTGCTTTGACCACAGGACCAGTGCGGGTTACCTCAAAACTTATGGAGGACCACAAGTAATTTTCCCTGAACTGAAATGAGACAACTCGTTTTAATAGAGTTGACTTTAACAAGATACTTTATTTGAAAATGTTAAAATCAAGTCCGTGTACAGTAACAGCCTCGTTCATTATGAATAAAACCAAATTTCAGCAAAGACAAAGGTTTGTTCTGTTCATAAAGATGAACATGACTATGTTTGTTCATAAAGTTTAAAATCATGTTTGACCGCAACATTAATAATGATCAGAACATGTAGACAGCACTTAAAGTGTATGTACAGCTGAAGAAAGCAATAACCTTACGCCCAAAATGGTGGATTGGGATCTGGCAGCGATCCTGAATTTTAGCGTGCTGTGTGTTTGTCATTTCTGTAGCCATGTTGGAAGAGTACGACCTCCTAACCACGTGAACGAGCTCAGCACAGAAGTCAGGCTCTTGTTGGAGGAGAAGGAACAGAACCTTCTGGCTTCGCAGGAGACAGTGCAGGTAGGAGGATATCCTGGAGCACCAGGAGAGCCCAGGGTAGAAAGCAGAGGCTGACGCTAGACCTGGCTGAGTTTGTGCAGGGCCCAATTTCATGACGCTTCTTAACAATTAGCAGAAAAGTTGTGCTTTCTATAGCAGAAAAATGCTCGGCATGCTTGGCATAACTGCTGTGCCTTCATAGATATTTCTATCATTACCTCACCAAGTTAGGCAAGTTTTCCTTAGAGGTCAGCGTGCTTTTTTGCTGTGCTCCCTGCATACGATCTCTATGAAATACGCACAGCCTCTGTAAGCACGAAATCATGTGCTTAACAGCGCCATGATATTGGGCCAAGAGCACTTTCCGGAAACCCAGTAGAGTTTTCAAATTCTGTTAGCTCCATCGTAACAGCCCAGTCTCTCCAAAAGTCCTAAGTTTTAATCCTATAACCCATGACTTGTGTCTGTGGGTATTTCATCATATCTCTTTTGTTTTAAAGGTGACCTTTTCTTTCCATTCTGTGAGAACACTCTTAGTGCATTCTTTTGTTAATGGGTGACCTTATGTGCTCTTATGAAAAAGGTTAAACTTGTAAAATTGTTTGACATATTGAAGTGATGATCTTAACGTTTTTGTTGTGGGTAATGCTTCAGTAGAATCACAAAATGTAATTGTCCCCCCCCCCCCCGATTTCCCTTGCTGTTGTCAAGTTCTTGCAAGTTGGTACCTTAACAAGCAACCATAACAAGTCTTCAGGTCGCCAATCAGGTGACAAACTGTTCAAATGAGTTTCAAGATGTATATTGTGTCGGGAGATGTACATGTAACTTTGAATGGTTTCGCGGTACCCACTGCTACATCTGACTCGTAGCAGCCAGCCCACCCCGGCAAGCTGGGTGGTCAAGTGGTTAAGACGTCTGCACTAGTAAGCAGGAGGTCGTGGGTTCAAGTCCCGCCCAAGTTAATTGTGAATTTTTATCACAAGCTCTTGGACAATACTGAGTATACAGTGTTAATTTACACACGTTGGTGTCCGGGCAAATTCCATAATTAAAGTGTTCAAATAAAACTATGATAAAGACTGTCCTTAGTCACTAACCACAGTTCATGATTTGAATGATGATTTGATTGACTTGACTGCAGCCTTGCTGGTTGCTATTTTCTGTCCACATTCCAGCTGACAGCAAATAAATGATGCAGTCCATCATTTGTCAATTGTGCGTTCTGTTCCATTAAGGCAGCACAATTACTCAAACTCTAAACCTTCTCACATTCATTCAAATGGGCTTTACGATTTGCTCACCGAACCGCTAAATTAGTGACAGCGCGTACGTGTGCTGGTCAACACTTGTGTGTGCTTCTGATGGCAATTTTCCAAAATGCGTCTTTAGATGCATCGTTGGAAATGGCCATCTTTTTGTTGGTTTCTTCACAATGACAGCTTGCCAGAATGAATACCTTCACAGGGATTTAAACCATTTGTAAATAATTATACTTTTCCACAACACACATAATACAAAATTGCTGCAAACTACTTGCTGGCTACAGCAACTCACAACGATAATTTCGTCAGTAACTGTTTGGATAAGTGCAAAAGACGGACCGTACATGTACCTTCAATAAGTGCAGTGTACCAAGCATTATCAACAAACAAACAACGTTTCACTCTTGGCTGTATTTTTGTGGGTAGATACTGCAAGCAAAGGTCAGACGCCTGGAACAGTTACTTCACCTGAAGGACATCCGAATAGAAGAACAAGCCAAACGAATAGAGCAACTGGAGAGAAAGTACTAGAACCTTGTACGTGTCAATAGATTGCCACTGTGTACCATAATTTTACAGTTGTATATACATGTATATAAATATGAAACTTGTACATGTACGTAGTGCAGTACTTTGAATGTAAAGGCAGGTGGAAGAAATTTCGAGAGACGGGAAGGGCAAAGGTGCGGAAAGATGTGGACGCATGGGAGGAATCTTCCATGTAAGTTTTATTTCTAAATAAGGGCCTTTTGAGTTCTCTATGCTAGGTTCGGTATGTTGTGTGAACTACATTCGGTAATTTGGGAGTCTTGTAGTTGAGGCTTATTTCTAACATTTTTTGATGTTTCAGTAATATTTTCCCAATGAGTTACTGGAGCCTAGGCTAGCTACTTCCTGTTTCTTATAAGGGCACTTGAGATTTTCTTCGACGTTCAACTTCAGTGGGGGCCATCGTTGGATAATGGTCTGTCTCACTGGGTTAAGAATTTTTCTTCATTTAAACGTTCAAGTTCGAAATCATTCAGAGCAAACTTCCCCTTGGATGTGGGAATGAGTTGGTGTAGAGATGTGCTGTCTTCCAATTGATATCTCGGTCCCTGTCAATTTTTCATGTTTACACATCATCAGTAGAACTGCACAGTTCATTGGATGAATTCCGGTTTGTTCTCCCACCGTAGACTTTCGTAGCACATGTATTAGATAAGAATCCAGAACACGAAGTATGTCAGTATTTGACCTATGTAAACGTCATTCTTTGGCTCTATAAGTGCACGTGGGCATCGCTGTAAAGTGAGCTCCCCTGAAATTTCGAGTGTTGTGGACCTGTCATCTATATATCACGTGTATTTAGTTGAAAGGTTTATGAAAATCAAGTTTCTTGACAGCCTGAAGGTCGATTAGTCACTGCGAATGTGAGAATCACGGATGCAGTGTAGTTCACCCGCATTTTCACTGCGCTTAATTGGCCCTGCAGCCTGGATCGGGCAAGAGCAAACACGACTGGTTTTGACATGGTGCAAGAAGTTGAAAGCTGGTCTTATCGCCCTACGGATAGATTTTTTGGGGGAAACAATTCAGGGAACTACAGAAAGGGTATCTATTTGCTTTTAACAGTTCAGTTTGCCATCACCTAACTTTAAAACGTGCTATAAACCATTTGACTTTTTTCATCTTTGGTCTTGATAACAGGATCTTTAATATCAGTGAAATCGATGTTTTCACTAATAATTATTCAGGTTAAATCAAAAATGGTGAATGTCTATTTGGACAGTAGTATGGACTTATATTGTATACTTGTTTATTTATGAAATGCTAGTTGTAAGAAAGTTTTGGGGTATAATACATTCCAATTTATGCCATATTTGTATTTTGAAGTGTGAGTACATTTTGTAGCCTAATGAACCATTGATTACTGCACACTCAGAGGTTTTGAATGACCGCGCCAAGACGTTTTGCGGCGATTGGAGATGTACGTATAATATTCCCTTGAACTACTGTTCAGGTGTTCAAAGAACGGCAGTTTCGAGGAATGATATAGGCCATGCACGCCATCCCGCATCTTAGATTATGCAGCGTCCGAACGAGTGCTTTTGGCACTATGGCACTAGCGATTGTCCTATCACTACCAAGGGGGACGGTTTTAAATGTTGGACAAGAATAATTCTTTCCCGACCCTCTATCCACTGAGCTAAATTCTCAAGAACACCATTTCACCCTTGGGAAACTTCTCATCTGAGAGCCATACCGGACAGGCGCTCCGGGGGGAAAGATGCGGTGGAGGAGGAAGCGAAACACCCAATGAAGGGTCCATACTATAAAACTTTTCTTAGACACGTTTTTTGCAACTTTTCCTTTTTTTGTGAAAATATCTAAATACATGCATTTATCCATACACATATTATCCACTGAAATCTGATATCCTCTAAGGGTTATTACATTTGAAGTAGTTTTTTTTAATGTCCGTGTGTCTTCCAAACAACTGATGGCGCTTTGCTGCGATGCCATTAGGGGAAAGGCGCTGTCCGGTTCATGTTTTTCGAATGATACAGTTTGGCGTTCGTACAGCGCATGCCTTTAATACATGAAGCGCGCGTGTTCGAGGTCTGCCCTATCAGCGCAGCCCTACGCGGACTGGCGGCGTACTTTATTCCCCAATGACCTTTTTTTTTTTAAATGCCCAACTGGTTCATTGTGGAACCAAACATTTGCTTGTGGAAAACTATGATTGAAGTGAGCAAAGCACTCTGCTTTTAAAACTCCAACTTCACATAGCCGAGTGATCGGATTGGCAGCCGCTGCAGGGCGTTGGATCGGCGGGGCCTCTCGCAGCAACATCCTTCTCACCCAGCACGCTCACTCGCCAACCACCACATCCAGGACCAGAGCCAGCACGAAGGTGAGCGGCATGACCCATACCAAGTGGACCAGGCCCGGGGACGAGCTGGCTTTCGGATCTCCTCAGGGAGCTGTACCTCGGTACTCCGAGAACCAGTGGTATGGCACACTGTGCACTACTGGAGTGTCCTCATTCACACGCCCGTCGATGTTGCCGGTGGCCAGACACCACACGTAGGGAATGTCTTTGGTATTGGTGGGAGGTCGCCTTTGACAATCAGTAATGCCATATCCTTCCTGGAAACGCATAACAGACATAACGTGTGGAATTTTTTACCGTAGCAGTTGAATGGCAGAGCTGACATACCTTTTTGGTACTTAAAAAATAACAACGAAACTGATTCAAATCGGAAGATTAGCTGCCACAGTGGCGACTTAATGTGCCTCAACGGTATTTAGAATAACAGTAATCACGATGTTGACGCAATCTGGACATTTGTGCCACGTAGCAACGCAGCAGAACCATTCTTCAAGCGGTAAACAGGGAATTTCATTTCGAACAGCAGCGTCTGTCTTGAAATGAGCCATCGACCGACAGTCTGTTATAGACCCCCTGCGTATATGACGTCACGTTAAATGACATTTCTTTCTTCCTCCAGGATAGGCTTGAGTAAACCTTTTGTGCATGAATTGTCATAAAGTCTAACATGTCCTCTGGGACGGCGCTCCAAGCAGGCCCTCTGCATACGTAACTTCCTAAAAGCAAAAGCGGGTTCGCCCCATGCCCCAGATCAAAGAACCGCAGCAGAATTCGCATGGACTTGCAAATGGCGGCCGAGAATGACATAAGATTGGATATTGGACATATTGGTCAAGACAATTTTTCAGTTTATATCTCGAGATGGAAGCTGAAATGACAGTGGAAGACCTACCAGCATGGGTTCCAACGTACCTGGAACTGGAAGATGGTGTAGCCTCCGTTGGGAACGATGGTAACGTACGTCCTTTCCTGTGGCTGTTATTGTTTCGCGCGATGCATGGAACCTATGGAATTTGCCGATACATGTTGCAGATGAAGGTGAGTGACGACTCATTAGAGTAGTATAATACGGGCGATTCACAAAAGCACGCCTCCAAGAGTTTGCAACGCGTTTGCTAATCACAATGCGCGAAATCTGTACACCCGAATGCGCGTTTGGAAAGGGTCGATAGATTTCGCGCATTGTGATTGGCCAACGCGTTACAAACTAGGAGGCGCACTGTTGTGAATCGCCCATATTCTACAAATACTTCTGTTAGTTATAGGCTGTGCTTGGCAGGTAGGCCAACTGCCATGAGGTTTGTATCCGGCCACCACGTACTAGTTTTCGAACAAAATTTCATTAAAGTCAAGCTCAGTGAGGGCAAAACCTGTTATCAAAAATCCGTCAGATTGGGAAACACCGAATTAGGAAAGAGTTCCATGCAACAAGGACATCACTTATAACACCCTGGGCACAAACTTCATGAGGCTAGTCTGAAAAAAAACCTTGGTATTCTCTAAGTGAACGTTTCAATAGTTTTCCCTGCTAAATTTGACCTTTTCGGACGTTATCGCTTCTGATTCACGGTGATTTACCAATGCAGAGAGGGTGAAATTTCCTAGCAACGGAGGCTCCTGTAGTAGGAACTGCACCTCGTTCGTTAGTCACCACTATGAAAGGCATGCGTTATACATTCTTGTTGCTACCAGCAAAATGAGCACTCCCGACCAACATGACATTTTCAATCGACGACTGTGGGTACCTTTGCAAAAGGCGGATAGAGCTCTGTTTAGGTCTCCGCTCTTTTGCAGAGAATACGCGGTGACGCCACAAGCCTGGACGTCTGTTTCCCTCAGTGTGCTCCCACTAATAAAATCCTAGCAACGCCATTGATCGACAAACTGCAACAATCTCAGAGGACCAGCCCAGAGACCAGCCGAAATTAACGATCGCTTCCCCTGCCGCCAGGAGACCATGAAGACCGACCACGACAAACATGCAAGTGATGCCTTACCTCCCTTGTACGCAGAAGGTCCGCATCCTTGACTAGCCTAGCAAGTCATGGATTCCTGGAGAAGTGGTCAAGGTCTGCAGAGAGCCTAGGTCCGCATATGAGGTCAGAACGCCCAATGGAACTGCCGTCCTTCGGAATAGGTTGCATCTGCGCGAAATGCACAGCAAGCCGACATCGCTCAAGCAAAGTGCTGCGTCTGCCGCAGCTGAGCAGCCCAAACGCCTTCACTTCCAATTGCCCCTACGCGCTCTCTTTTCTGAGACAGGTTGCGACCAACAAGACCTCAGCCAATCTGATGGGGAAAATAAGACCCACCGACCAAAGAATCCAATCAACGCAGCAGAATACTTCCTGCACAAGCCCAAACCTACACGGTCTGGTCGTGTTGTCAAAGTGCCACCCTCATATGATCACACCAGTTGGCCTCTTTCCAGTTGTTCCACTCTGAGAGTTGACTTTTCTGTCTTGTTGTAGTTTCTTCCTCGTTAGTAAATAAGATACCAATAAGCTGTAGTTTTGCTTATGACAGATTCCAGTTTGTTTTACTACAGTGGACTGTTATTGTTCATGGTAAATCTCCGATTAAAATCTTCTATAACCGGTTTAAGTTTATGAAAAATATCTGTCAAAAAGGATGTAGAAATGTATGAATATTCATAACCCTGCATTATGTACAGCACAGGCACGCTGAAGATGTCTGCCCATAATGTGGGCATGCACTTTATGGAATAAACATGCAGCCATGACTTAGTCCAACTAAGCTGAAGCCGCCTCCGTGTTCCACCTTATTATTACACATCCCAAAACACGCGGATCCCGATTGCGATACGACGCTGGTTCTCTGACACCAGAAATCACCTAATGAAAGCAAACCAGCGCAGCCGGGGATCACTGATCGAGATCCAGAGTCGCGTGAAACAAACAGGCCCGTAAATATACGCACGTGCAGTGAGAGACTTCCTGACGCTTTGTGCCGACAAACATACCGGTCCTTTTTACCAGTTCTGAGCATGCGCACGTTGTTTTGAGTACACGCTATACCTTAAAAAAGGACCGGTATGTCCGCTGCCACCAGCGTCTCAAAGTCTCCCATTAAGAATACCCAGAGGTTGTGAATGAGATTGGTATCCGAGCGGAACAAAAGAGGGCTTTTTTTTGGTACTCACCGCGTAGGCGCGCGTTTATGATGGAGATCAAGGGTGCGTTTGACCCGGAGCACGCCGAGTACGCGTAACGAATCTATTCGGTTCGTAAGTGACTTCGTCACAAAGGCGGACGCGCCACGATTCGCAAGCTCCCATTGGACAATCGCAGAAGTTGCGCGTTAACTTCCGGTTCCATCGATCAATGCATGTAAACCTATGTGCAGTGCGTGTGTGCAGTGGGCGTGGTTTAAACTGAAGTGACGTCACACTTACAAACCGGATTCCTTACACGCAGAACACATGCAAGAACCCGCTTAAAAAACTTACAACCATCCGTCTTTCTACTGCCGCTTGGGGGTGCGCTTCAACTCGGGGCGGATATGGTGTACGTTTGAACTTGTAACATTTCGAAGGCCGCGCGCCTAAAAACGCTTGGTCAACACCACGTGACTTGTGATTTTCCTGATTATCAAACAATTTGATTATTATATTTTGTAGTGTTTAATTTCCTAAATCTTCATTTTTCTGGATAGAGTGGGCCCAATGCCACAACAGTGGCGGATCTGGGGAAAGTTTCATAACTCATGGTGCATCAGTATATCAACAGCAGACCAAGGGGTGGTGCACTCACCTCGTTGTTGTATTAGAGGAAATCACAGATTGATCACTATTATATACTATGGGTGCGTTCGATTAGCTTACACGTGTAAGTCAAACTTACACGAGAGCGTTCGTTTAGCCATCACGTGATCCTTGTGCCTGCCCTAGCGTCAGCCACTACTACCAAAGATCGTATAGCTAGCGCCGCGTAGCGGTGCAAGATGGGGAACTTCACCATGAATACGCGTAAAACGTTGTTATCACATGGGCGCCATTCTGGTTGGACTACGCCTGCGCAGTGCACGCACACACATTAACGTTCACACTCGAATGGCGCCCGTGGTGATAACACCTTTATGGCCGAATTATCTTGCGCCGCTACGCTGCGCTATATAATCTTTGCTACTACCCCTGTTGGCGAGCGGGTCTCCGGAGGCTGCCCGAGTGTAATGACGTCACGGATGGACTGTTCGTGCATGGACGTACATGTACGTACGTGATGGTACGTGGCGGGGACTTGACCCTTTTCCCAGAATGCCTTGGCGAGTACACTGCATGCAGCATTCGATTACCCTCATTTCGCGGCTTCCCTTGGTGTACGAACTCTGGTGTATTCATGGAAGCTAATCGAACGCACCTATTGATTGCCGTTTATGGAACCATGGAGCCGGAAGTTAACGCACAACTTCAGCGATCGTCCAATGGGAGCCTGCAAATCGTGATGTGTCCGCGCGTATGACGAAGTCACTTACGAACTGCATAGCCATTCGCTGACTCACGTACGCTTTGTTCCCGAAAAATCCTGGCTTTTTGAAATACTGAGCTGGCTTTATGAAGCCATCAAAATGGGGCCATCGGGAATGTCGAGTGAAAACACGCTGGATAGTTTGAAAAATAAACTAAACGCATCTGTACACTGTCAGTATTTGATAAACACTTCACGGTATTTTTGATCACCATCCATGTGTAATCAATTGTTTTCTCACAAGTTTTTTTCTTACCTGTTTCTTTTTGATTTAGTTTTGTCATGATGCGTATAGTTTTGACCTTGGAGTCAACGAAGAATAGAAAGTTGTTTCACCTCCTCTTTTAGAGATAGTATGCATTTATTGGATCATGCTAGCAAGTGTGATGTTTTCCTGCCAATTTTTGTATGAAAGAATGACGTGTGTTGTATTGTTGTTTGACCGGAGAAAAGGTATCTCAAATTATCTGCTATTAGAGCATTTTGTGCCACGTGAACTTGGCGGTTTGTGGAGAAGGATGGAATCTACCAGAAGGACTGCCGTCTTGTATTTCTGAAAGTATACGACCAACTTGAAAAAAAGAGCCCTCCAAATGCTGATGGGCCATGTGACTGTTTAAAGGCGTGATTGTGTCTTTGGAGAGAAATATTTTCAAAATTCATCAGTTAATTGAGTCACTGACAATTGTAAGGAAAATAAAGATGTGGAAGTGAGCTTTTATTTGATGTGTGTCTTGAACACCTGAGAAACTTATGATTATTTTCCTGATTTTTTTAAGTGGGTTGGGGTATTTACCTGTATTGTTAAACTGCTCTGCAGCCCTAAAAAGCTCAGTTGAGGCCACTGGAGGGCGCCTTAACATCTCACGTGTTGCTCGGCAGTGTCAAATGTGTTTCCTGTGAGAATGGACACCTGCGATTTACACTTACTTGGAAACTGCAATGAAAATGACTTGAAACTGTCCGTGCAGTGTGCAGCAAGACGTAAGTATTTTCGTGGTGAAACTTTAAACAAAAGAGGTCACACAGACGCCCTCGAAAAGGGTTGGCAATAGCGTAGAAAGAACAGCATGACAGGTGCAAACGGCATGGTCAGATGGTACTTGACATACTTGAAGTTGAAGTACCCCCAGAAGGTGTCAGGTCAACTCGACCTGTGGCCAACTCGAGTCAACTTGACTCTCGACCAACTCGACCTTGCAAACGGTGCAACAGGGACAAGGCATAGAAGGAACGCATTTTTCCTAGTCATGGTAGTTCTGGATCGCGCGTGTAATTACTGTGCGTGATGTGATGCCTGCGCACAGTGTGGTGACAGATTTCGGGGGTTCGTGCGTCTGTGCTTCTTCTCAATTTGGTAAAATTATTTGGGAGTATCTCATTGGCACAAGTTCAATTAGGCCTATTGATTGCATTGCAGTTAATTTCGTGGTTTCATTGAGTTGGTAAATGGTCGAGTTGACTCGACTTTGAAGTCGAGTTGGTCAACGGACGAGTTGGTTCAATGGTTGAGTTGGTCGACGGTCGAGTTGGTCAGGAGTCGAGTTGGCAAACAGTCAAGTTGACCCACAACCCCCCCAGAATTGGCATGATTGGGTCCGACGTCCTCTACGGGGCGGATGTCGGACCCCACAGTCCTGGGGTAAAGGTGAAGTAGGCGAGGCCTAACAATTACCTAATGGCCTAACCTAACGTTATTTATTGGTAAGACATTTGGACATGGTCAGCGATGATATCGATAGTCTATCAAGTATCATATCAATCATGCCAATCCTTGGTGGAACCTTTCATAGGCCTTGTGAACTGCTATATTAATATTGGGGTTCATTACCATTAGCACCCTGTTCCTATCATAATGAAACTAAGTCCACTTTCTCAAACTAACTAACATTTTGACCTTAGAAAACCATTACTCAATCCCGATAGGCCTAGTTTAGGTAAATTTGGACAATATTTAAGCAAGAAAACTTAAAATTTCTAACCTGAGTTTGGCAAAAGACAACCACTCAGTCAAATGACGCCATTTTGTTATGCGTCTGGTTACCCTGACCTGGCCTTTGGATTCATCAAACCAAATCTCCATCCAGGTCAAGGAACCAGACTACATTCACAGCTCTCTGCCAGGCGGGCATGTACGCTGCCGTTTTACCCAAAATTACTCTCAAAAACCAAAAGCCCTGCTCTCTTTCTTTCTGATATGAAAGGGGACATCACCAATAACTTGTTTAGATAAGTTATTTCAAAAAAGTAGAATTTGTTCCCTTATAATAGGAACAGGGTGCCAAAGGTAATGAACCTTTCATATTCAGTAGTCCATATTCCGAATCGAAGTCCTCAGATTTCTCCCCAAACATGCCAAACCAAAACAGTCATGAAGCTGCCTACATAACGATAAACCACCTGATAACTATGACAACGGGTCGGGACCAAACCACAATTTGGGAACAATGCTAGTCATGCTAGTAGTACAGGTAGTATCTCACTATCTGCCTTTGTCCCTTGTTCAAGCGGCGATGTCAGTTGTAGCAGGTCATGTGATTATGATGATGTCATTTTTCTTGTGGGATTTTGTTTTGTCCATGGCAATGCTCCTTTCGATGGTTATTTTGGAAAATCACCACTGCAATCATAAAGTTTGCCACGGTCAATCGATGGAGATTTTTTTGGCAATACTTTCATGCATAAAGTAAGTAACTTTTTTTCATTTGCGGAACTCGCCTACCTATGCAATATGGATAGGGGAACCCGTCTAATACTTCCCGCAGTGGCCAACACACATGACATGGCCATCTTGGCCATACATGTACCGGTACTATTGAAGTCTATGGCAATGTCTGTTTCCAATGGCTATTTTGCAAACTTGCCATGGTAATCATAGAATTTGGCAAGGTACATGTAAGTCGATGGAGATTTTTCTTGTGCGATTTCGTGAGAAAAGCGAGATTTGAAAGTTGCAACTCCGATGCACGGACGTGTATAATAAAATCTGGACTCGCAATGCCCTTAATCAGCTTATAGAGTCATTGAATCCACTCGCGGCCATTTTACCGAGCCGAATACAAAGCTTTCCTGGCAATGCCCGCCTTTGTTCTTCCTGACGTCAATAGAAGGGAGCCAACCCACGCCTTTGTATTCGGCTCGGTAAAATGGCCGCTGGTTGGCTTCTTTTTCCTACAAAGGCGTTGCAAGTCCAGGTTTTTTTTATATACATGTCCGTGCTCCGATGATGCCAGCAGTCAACATGGCTGCTGCATGTGTGGCCACTGCCATTTCAGTCCATGAGAATATTTTTATGCATGAAGTAAGCTTCTGAAAAACTCTATTTTTTTCACATTAACTTTTTCATTGGTGGAGCTCGCCTACCCACCGATACAAATTCAACACCAAAACACCAATAAACTGAATTTGTTCGTTCCAACACATCAGACTAGTCATGCTTATTCAGTATCAACAAGTGTCAATACACTTGATAACACTCGCATTCTGGCCTCTAAAGATTCAAAAGTGGTATTGTCATATTTAAGAGACTCTGACATCTGCCATTTTGGAAGAACAATGAACTGCTTCGAGATTATTCCGGGAAAACAACCATGTTTTTCCGATTGGTGAGGGCCCCGCCCCCATCATTCTTTTCTCGACCACCCACATGAAAACAAGATGGAGGCTGGTTGGGCTGCACTAAGCATGGCCGACCTATCGCTCAAATTTCAACACCAAAATATCATTTTAGTAAAATGTGACACATCGAATATGATATTTAGGAGTCTGGTTGATATTAACAAAAACAGCATTTTGGCATAAAATGTTTGAATAATTTGCTGACGCTTGTTGATGCAAAATACATGTAGCTTGACTCCATCTGACTTGTATCGAAGTGTACACGCACAGTGTAAGTTTGGCCGTGTTTGTTTCACATGTGTCTGAATCGCAATCAGTGATCTGTCATTGGTTTACAGACATCAAAACCCACCTAATAGATGGTGTGAACCAGCATCAGGATTACTGATAGATCCAGATCCGTGTGAAACAAACAGGCCCTTGGTTGACGAGTCGCTGCCTTGGTATTCCAAGCTCTGTGCTAGCTTGATCTCTGTGATGTCATCTTTGGACATTATTTCAGTGGACTTAAAAATCCAAATTCCTCCAAACAAATGGCTCACAATAATGGTGTAACTCGTTCATATGTGTTTTTTGTCTGTAGTGGGGTACGGAGTTCTCGCCGTTGGCTACAACTGTCCCATCCAAGAGAAACCAAGCAGTGAAAAAAATAAGGTGAGATATCGGGGGAAGGGGGGGTGGGAGGATGCGTAGTCTGGTAGTTGTACCTCAACTAGACGTACTAGTCAATGAAAATGTGACCAGGGTGTAATGTTCCAACGGCACAGACTAGTAGCCTTTAGCTGCAAGCTGTTTGCTTGCTGGATGCTGCTTACTCAGGCCCCAATGAATGTAAATTTGAAAGGATGTTTCAAGAGACTTTTGTTTGGATCGTTGATGTTGGATGTGGTCCATGGACACCAGTCGACTGAAGTAATTTCATTGCTCGATTTCCGTGAATCCACAGTGTTACGTTGTCGAAGAGGTATGTTACTTAAACGTAATTTTACTGAGTACACTTTGCTATGGAAAAGTGCCCTTTTTAAAGGGTAAGAGCACCCGTCATGTTCGTTCATCTGCAGACGGACGCCGCGAGTACGCTGTTCCCATTAAAAATGCCCTGTAGTTCATGGTTTTGTGGACGATAAATTATAAGACCTTAAATTTTCTCAAAGCAGTTAACTCAAACACAAAGTCAGTCAGTGGAATGAAAACTGCAGTGAATTTTAGACCCCAAAATCAGCCAATCTTGTAAAATCGCAACCCCAAAAAGCCTCCCTTTAAAACCTGTTGTTGTTTCAGTTACTTGATTTGATTTTGCCATTTTATTAGCAACATTAGGTTGTGAAACCAAAGGGTTCCCTTTCAGGAGATACAAGAAGCAACTGACCAAACAAATCTTGGAGCCAAAAGAAAAATCCTTGAAAGTGTGCTCCCTGGAAATCGTTCAGACAAAGGGCAACGGAAGCAGCCTTGAAAATTATTGTATACAGGTGCCTTAATATTTTAGAAAGAGTGCCCAGCTCGTAGTGCAAAACAAAATTTTCGTTTGTGTGTGTGAGTTTGTTTCTGCATTCAATTGGGGACCCTGAACAATAGAGGACAATAAGGTCCCCGATTGACAGAGGGTCCCCGATTGACAACTGTGTACAAAACATATGGATGGTTTTCTAAAAAAGTTAAAGTACAAACAAAAGAGGAACAATAGGGGGTCCCCAGTTGCAGGCAAATACACACTTGGGTGTGTGTGTGTGTGGATTTGCTGCATACTTGAAGTTCCAATTTCTCCAAAACTAAAGAATTTGCATACATCCTTCCATGCCTGAATCACTCGCAGACATGCCGTCTGTGAAGGCCACCTAAACCAAGTCAATAGATACATGTATGGTCCGCTGACAGTATGGTCACCTGATGCCTATCAGCAGATTTGTGCTCGACAGGATGCCTCAATGTCTAACTAGGGCTCTTATTGGCTAGTGCACCTGGGTATAAACTTACATACATGTACATGCGTGTACATGTTTATGTATCAGGTGTTGTTTGAACGAAGGACGATGCTCAGACTAATATTGAGGCATCAGGCGGAGTGAGTTAACATTTGTCTGCGTGTGCAATTCTCTCAGGTGAAACTTCCGTTTGCACCACCGGCTCTGAAGCTGGATGGCCACACCGAAGCAGCTGTAGGAGTGAGTATCCCAACTGCCGCAAACCAGTCTAAAGGATCCGTCTTGGGTGTATTTGGAGGGGATTTGATACCCCACATATCCATCATCCCCAAAACCCATTCTTAAAAAATTAACATCTCCCCGACACCGGTAGATCTTTGAAGACCGTTATTTGGGTTTGTGGTTAGAGTTTTCGAGAACCGAAGCAGCGGGGGGGATGGTCCCTAAAATTAAGGATAACTACATGTATTGCTCAAATGAGTAGAAAAGTGAAGATTCTCGCCAGTTTAATGTAAATCTGAAATCTTTTTAATTAATCTGTAGCACCTTTAACTTTTAACCACTTCGCACCGGGCATTTATGAATGTTGATGATGCTGCAACGGGATAACTTTTTTTTTTCTGTTTTCAAAATTCTTTAAAAATTCATATCTTCATTTACTGGACACTGACACCCACATGAAGGACTGTTTGGTTTCTACTCTAATCTGACAGACATCTATTGACGCTGGAGTATTTCAGCCAGGCCTGCCTCCTTGTAAAAAGAGCCCAGATTGTGCGGTGTTATGTAACTTTCTTTTGTTCACGAACCTGGCTCAGTGCACTGCTGATCTCTTTTCAGTAGGGGCCAGATTAGCATGCATCGGTGCTGTGTGGCTCATCGCTGTGGCGGTGGAGCGCTTTTGTCCCCGGTGGTAATCCGCTCGCACTAAATGCCCCAAACCGTGGTATACTGTTTCAAAAAAAGGCTGGATTATCTCCACTATTGAGAGTAAAAAAATCTTGGTAATTCCCAGTAGCTTGGTCTTTTGTTGGGAGTACAGTCTCTTGTTACAAGGCCCAGTCCCTTTTGTCTGATTTCAGAGACCCCGGGCCACGCATATAAAATATACATGTACGTGTCCGAAACTGGAATCACCAGCGGCAAGTGGTTAATGAGGTTTTAGGAAAGGATTTTGAGTGGATAAATCCCATATATGTATGCTTATTTTCTGACGTCAGCTCCTGCAGCCTACGGTAAATTGCTTTTTTATTTCTGGCTGTTAATTCCGTCAAAAACGAATTTAGGCTTTTTATCCCACTGTCGTGACTGTGTGGGTCTTTGTTTTCACATGAACATGATGAAAGGATTTCTTTGCTTGGATTTTCAAAAACAGGTACGGTCAAAGGGCGTCAAACAATTGTCACGCATAAATATTGTGCTGTCAGAAGGCTCAGAAACACACAAACTGGTGAGTCTGTGAGTCAGCATGGTGTTTACTTGAATAATTCACGTCCACATTGCATTTTTCTAGGTTTATATGGTGTTTTTAAGTCTCTCGTTATTTGCGAAGGACTAGATTTGACAGGGATGTGAGAATTCAGTTTTTCAGCTGTTTTTAGCTTTCTTTAAAGCCTCGCCGACAAAGTCGAAGGGGGGTTTATGCCGTTTCTGCCTTTTAAGCCCGAAAGGTCAAGGGTAAAGGTCACAATGGCTGTATAGTAAGACATTCTTGTTTGTGTTCCAATAGTTAAAGATGTGGGTCTAGGCATGGGCTTGGTAGGGCATTGGTGTTTGTTAACACTTCATTCTTGCTCTTTGTGGCACTCACACCCCACCAAATTTTGATTTGAATGTTTAATCAGAGAAGATCGATGATAATATATTCCTCCAGACTGAGATGTAATAAAATCTCGGTTTCCCGTGCCCGTTTACCGCTGTGCAGAGGCAGGACAATGTGCAATCCTACGAATTGCTGGCCGTGCAGCCGACCACGGAGAAGATGTTCCACATGGCCTGCACCAAGCTGGAGGTGGACATCGTCTGTCCGGACATGACGGAGAAGCTGCCATTTTACTTCAAGAGAGTGGCAATCAATGCCGTGAGTTTGATGTGGGCTCCCCGTATGGTTCACAGACGACAGTACAGATTTTAGGCTTAGAAAAAAAGCATTGTCCGTTTCTAGCGGAGACACTTTTGCGTGTGCAAAATCTGCACTTTGTCTGCGGACAGGATGCCTGTAGGCAGTGATTAATTAGGTTCACATTTTTGGTTTCCGTCGTCATGCTTTGTCTTGTTTTTGTCTAGTTGAAATGATCATAAATAAATAAGAATAGCGTGGACACTCAAACAAACAAGCTGAAAATGCTCGTGAGAAATGGTAACATTTAATGAAGTTTCATAGCCAAGTTTTGGCAGCAAAATCTTGTACGGTGCTTCAAACTTGACCCAACGTGGTCAGTGCCTGCTTTGAAGAGCGTCACTAGATCAGCCTGTGTGGAGAATATAGAATGTGCTGTTCGGTTACCTCATACCACCACGCATATGAAATGTTGACTCTCCTTTATTCTGTGGTAGAGAAAATCGGGGGAAAAAATGCTCCTTTTTCTCCCATCATGATAACTCTCTCAAGCTGGATTCTAGGATAACCCAATAGCCGATAACCCTTGACCCCATAATGCCTCTGAAGCTATTTTTCAAAGAGGGAAAACACTGTGTGGACATGTAGGGTCCTCACGTCTTCTTAGCCTACATAATGTGGACTCCTTTTGTGTGGAGGACCTAACTATGTATGCCACGCTTGCACACACAGGCTTGTTTGATGGAATCACACACTTTTGAGCTGCAGTCAAATAATTTGAACATGGCCTCTACTTAGGAATCTGCTTAGCACAAAATTATCTGCTAAGCAAAAATGGGTGACAAGCCAAACTGTCATGGTTTGCGTATTGCTTGTTTCTGGTGCTCTGCTCATTTTTAGGCGGTGTCCAAATTGCTCGGATTTGGCGTGAAATTACACACACGACTCTGTAAGTAGTGGTTGCAGCCACTTTCAATTTTGTTTGTCTTTGGGCCTGGTCTTGCTGCGCAGGCAATTGAGAGAGGCATCTACTTTGAGATCCCCTACGCACCGGCCATCCGCGATGCGACCATGCGGAAGAATGTCCTCAGCAATGCCATGACATTGATCACCCTGTGTCGGGGCAAGAACGTCATCATCACCAGTCAAGCCATCAAGGTTGGGATACCTGTTGAGTTCAGAGTTTAGGGCTTTTCTGTCCTATTTTACAGCCGTCAGCCTTTTTTGAGGCAGGGCGGACACCATTGGAGGGCGCTATTTGAAGTGGGTAAATTTTGGAGTAGACCCTGAAGATTTTACCCAAACCAGTAAGTGCCCTCCGTTGTGTCTTCTATGCCTCAAAGGCTTAATTTACTTGAGATACATTCTTTTAATGCAAAAACAGTTTATAAATTCTTTTATATCAGCAACAGATAAATGACTTGTTTTTTTAAGGTCATCTTTAAAAAAGCTTTTGTAACAAAACTGACAAAAATAAAATAGAAGAGAAAATGGATCTGCTGCTTATAATTTTTAATTGATACCCGGGTACTCATGACACATTAATGCTTATTAAGTACATGCATGGAAATATTTGGACAAGGTTCTGCGACTTGGGGGCTACCTTCATATGTGATCCAGTGAGTTCATGACATTCCAGCTCCTTTCATTTAAAAAAGTCGCTTCCAGAAAGCTGATCCTGTAAAAAACTTTGATCTGTTTCAGCCACTTGAAATCAGAGGGCCCTACGATGTAGCCAACCTGTATCCTTTTTCATGATGTGTGTTAGCACCAGATGGGTCTGTAGGCCCAGTGCAGACTTTTCTTCACTGCAGAGAAAGGCGGAGGTCTGGCCAGAGAATTGAGGCATCATCTTTTCTTGACGTGGGCTCAACTTTAATACTCGGATACAATTTTGAGTTGGCATCAACAGGTCAACAGAGTGTACAATAATAGTAATATCGCACAGTTTATGCAATTCAAAGGTGCCGATATATTATCATCATCCCTGCACACTGGGCTCACATCATCTGAGCATTCCTGAAACCATCTCAGCACCTTCGGGAGTATACTAGCCGGTGCTGCCATTGCAAAATGGCGCCAGTGGCTAAACGTGACCTCGTCTGCCCTCACAGGTACCCTTTTACTCCTGGGTGGAGAGAGGCACATGGGGGTAAAGCGACTTGCCCAAGATCACACATGCTGCCACCAGCTGGATTCGAACCCCCGACCGTGTGATCAGAAGCTACAAACCCTAAGCCTAGAGGCTACATGCCCCCATGAAATTCAATTGTGTTGTGAAAAGGATGGCTCATTGGCAATACACCGGACATTAGCACTCTTTGGACATTTCATAAGCCGCTTGAAAGTTAAATTTGAATAAGATCTGGTACATCGAGTTATTTGATTGCACATAACCATGACAATTTGAATTCCCCAGACTAAAGACACTGTTGCTATACCTCGAGATTCAGGGCAAACGTTTGCATAGTCACCACCAGTCACCATCTCTGGAATGGACTGGTTCCTTTGTGCCCTTCTTTTCCATTGAAAACAGCGTATTGGTGCAAGGCGTCTCTTATGTAACCAAGCAAAAGTCTGTCCTGAATCACGAGGTATAGCAACTGTGTCTTTAGTATGGAGAATTCAAATCGTTTTGTTCACATGAATTAAAAAAACTCAGTGTACCAGATTTAATTTACATTCAACTCACAAATGGCTTATTAGCGTACTTGTAAAACATGTCGTAAGGAGACAGTGACACCTTACAGGCATCGGGCAGTGTCTCAGGAACAGAGAGAACTTAATTTTCCATCTAGTTATGGCAAGAAATTTTTCTGAACACTTGTCATGTCAGGGGTCTGCTGTTTGGGCTAACAGAACAAGAATCCAAGAATGCAGTGTCGACAAACTGCAGGGCAGTGCTGTATCACGCAGGTTGGTGTGAATGATTAAGTTTTGTCTGCCGAAAGATGTTTGTATGAAAGTCCCGTCGCCGGCAATGCTGTGTTTTCAACTGATGATTGAATGATCTTGGGTAGGATATAATGTGTTGGCTGAAGAGAACGCTTTCCAAACACTCCCAAGGGTTAACTTGATTTCCTGTATGAAGTTGATAGAATGTCGCCACTTTCTGGCTGATGGAAAAAGTTCATTGGGGCAGATACATTTGTTTAATGTACACACAGCGCTTAAGGCAGCTGGGCACATAACCAACTGTGCCTTTGCCGATAGATTTATTGCAGCATTCTCCAAAGACTAGAATTAGAAGTGCATGGGTTGTGTGTCCCCACTTCGTACCTCTTTGACCAACATGGGTACTTCAAACTTGCCAAAAATCATGTGCAACAAGTAGTCAATTTGTGTGATTGAAATTCCTGCGGTGGTGGTCCCCAAAACACAGCAACCTGACTCTTTTCAAACCGCATACTGCAATGTCACAAATGCTGGATATTTAATTGTTGTTAATATTCCTGTCCTTCAGCTACGAGACGGAACACCATCAAGTCTGTCATGTCACTCCAGCAGGTCAGTGACCTCCCGGCCCAAGACCGGTGGAAGGTACGCGCGGGCCAGGAGGCCTGCAGCCTTAGCATTGAGGAAGATTCCACAGAGGCCGAGGAGACAGGAGTCCTGGCTAGAACCAACAAGCGGAGGAAATCAAAAACCAGAAGCAACTCTGGCAAGGGGGAAGAAGCGTCCTCTAAGAAAATGAAACATGCGGGCGGGGGTGGACCGGCCTCATCGTGATCTCCTAAATGCTCGTTAGGACTAACTGCTGGGTGACTGGATGAAGTGCCAAGGCCGGACTAGCCTGGTCTGGACGTGAGCCCTGAAAGGGTTAAGACCTTAAGAAATCATGCTGGAGTTGAAAAGCCAGTTTCACGGTTTCGCTTTATGGTTGGCCAAAATATGTCTGCCCACTGCAGATACACTGTGACAACCTGCAGTGCGCTCAACAGCACTGACTGGCTTGTGTCTTGCAGGGCGACTTTTAGTGTTCATGACAGTTGTCAAGAAATTCTGCGTATGGAATACATGTAAGTAGACTCCTTCCCGTGCCGACTGTGAGCACCTCTGTCAGACCAGAGACTCTTTTGAGCATTGACGCATGCCCCTATATGAAATACGGCCCAGGACCAGATCTGGGCTGGAGACAGGCCGCGCTGAATCAGATTCACAGTAATCAGTGGTGTGCCCCAAGGGAAGGGGAGGTGTCATTGTAGGGATAAGAGATTAAACTTTAGTCTCAGATCATGATAAGGCCTGGCCCCCTGCCTTATATACTCAATGGTTATGAATATGTTACGTCACCTGAACACTTAGTTACAGTCACTACAAAATCTACTAACACTGGGGCAATCATGCTTTGATATTGGTAACTTATAGGATCCTTTCAACTTTTTAAAAATTTTTTTTAAATCTTACATCACTGCATAAGCTGAACTGATCATTGTCACACTTTAGAAATAAACCCACTGCTTTCAGTTTGTAAAAACAGCACAGTGATAGTACACGTTCATGCATTCTCTGCCATGTTGCTGTTAAATGAAAACTTCACACCGAATTCCGAAGTAAATCATACCGTGTACCCTATATAGTGCTTGCGGCGATTTTATTCACAAGAAATTGATATCCATTATTGCTCAAATAAATCCATAAGACTGGTTACAATTGGAATACGGTGTAAGCGTGTTAAGCACATCAGCCTTATTTTTCCATGCATTATGCGATCCCTTGGAAATAGTGTGGATGCATAAAACTAACAGGTTCTCCTTCCCTAGCCCCCCCTGCAAAAAAAAAGATCTTCAAACTCGTACCGGTGTACAGCAATTCTGGACTCATCTTGTGACTTGGTCTTTTTTTTTTCTGTGCATGCATGCAAACATCTGCCTCCAAGTGCAGAGTGTAGCAATATGCAGTTCATGTACATGTGGAAACCCTACTGTCTGATAACAAAGACATACAGAGTTTACTCTGGAATACACATGAGAAAAGGCTAACAGCAACATTAGGATTGGAGGATCCGTCCTGTCACTGCAGCGGGAACTCTTCTGTGTAGAGACCACAGAGCTGATTAAATCATATCTGGACTATGGCTAAGGGCTTCATAAGCAGTAAATCTCTGTAGTGTTTGGACACTTCATGCCATGCTCACGGTGCCAGTGCTTTTAGAGTCTACATTTACAGTCGTAAGACGGAGGCAAGGTGTCCACTGTTGCAGGTCAATTGTTTTTTTCTGTATAGCGTCCTCTCGTCAACTTGACGTCTGAGGCTTTGCGGCAGTGGCATCGTCTTTCCTCTTCTCCTGTTTCTTGGTCCAGAGGCCCAGGTTTAGCCCTTCCCGATTTCTGGTGATCTCGACAGCAAAGAACTGTATCCTTGTGACTGGTTAAGGAAAGGAATAACCACTTGTCCTTCAGTTAAAATACACAATGTCTAGATTAGATTGACATTTTTCATTATTACAATGTTGATTTAACAGACATTTGAAACAGGACAGTACTACTTGCAAGTGACAGCTGTATGTTTGCGGTAAGAACACTCCCCATGCTATTCATTACAATATCTCGATCATCCCAGTGCAGTGCCTTATGGGATGCAAAAATGAGCAGGCACTGGTTTCATATGAACTTGGGATCCCCGCCTTCCGTATCCCTCTTGGCTGTCACCATTCTGTGCACATGCACGAGTCCAAATCACACAGGGGGTCTAAATCTCACAGGAAACTGACCGCGTGCGATTTGTGGTCCTGTGGTCCTAACACCAGCTGCTTGCTAATCCTGTCACTATAATCTCATGCCTGCGGGTGGCACAGTATCGGTCCGATTATCCTGCACTAGACGGTTGGTGTTTCATTTTGTCCAGTTATAGCGGAAGTGTCCTTGATACTTAAAGACCCCCTCTACTACTACACTGTCAGTCAAGGCGACTTTGGTTTCATCACATGTGTAAAGTGACGTGTGAAGTAGGGGTCACTATCAACTTTCTCACCGAATATGGAGTTCTTCTCTGAGTAGTCTTCCCGGCAGTCAAGACGGAGCAATGTGCCAAAATTGAAGTCCTCCACAGCGCCTTCAAACTTGTTGCAGAAGGTTCTCCATTTCTGGGTGGGTTGAAAAACTTGAATGTTTCATGTTCACTGATGGAACTGAAATTTGTTTTGTGCTCGAAAACTTGCAGGCTAAAAAAAAATTACGGCACCGAGCTGATTCTACAAATATCTCGCTGTGATATGGACAACAGCAGGATGATCTCAATTGTTACATTTCATAAATACTTACCAGCCCTTTTCACTTCCTTGGCCAATATTCCAACACATCGGGCTGGTTATGTATCGGGCTACAATGTAACCTCTTGACATGCTAAGTACAACGTACATGCGGAATAACATACCAGCTTTGCACCTTTTCAATATTCACAAAGGAGTTGCATCAGTATGGAATTAATTCAATCCCGATCAAGAAATCTGCCACCTGCTGACACTTTAAATGTACCCTCTACAGCTACAACAGGAAATATTCAAAAGAGCTAAACTGTATTACCGACTTGGAAGCCTCGGACTTCAGCTCCTCTGGGTCAACGATGTCAACTCTGAAATTGGGAAAACTCTGTTTAAAGCTCTGGTAGATTTCATCATCTTGTTGAGTTAGCTTTAGGCCACGGTTATCCACAGACGAGACCAGCTGTGAAGCGTAAATATTCAAGATTTCAAGGTAATCTTATATTCATTTCATAATCGATTGTGGCAATTGTGTGCTGTGTATGTGAGTCAGTCATTTAAAAGTTTGAGATGTGCCAATCTGGTCTTGGGATTCAACTTAAAATCTCTTGGCTTCATTCTGAGGTGCAAATTGTTGAAGATCCTTCTTTTATAAATTTAATCAAGAGGTTAAGACCTCAAGAGTGGCCAGTGAAATTCTGAGGACTGTCTTTGCCTCACGAAAACCTTTGGAGAATGTTTGTCAGTTGAGATGACGTCATTTTGTTATGATGCACTCAAGGCCCAAGTCTGGGAGGGACAGCCCAATCGTAACCAGCCTTTTACACAGTGAAATTGCCATCAAGCATGACGGATAAAGAGTTAGTGAATTTACTGCCAGTGGATTTCACGATGTTTCTTCTTGAGAAATCGAGGAACTAGGTTCCCTTGTTCGTCTTTGCAGAGAATTTTTCCACATATCATTATGCCGGGGGGGGGTGTCATTTGCATATGCAAAATTCCCATCTTCTACCTATGTCCGTACCCTCCCCAACGTGCTCAGATTAAAATTTCCTGATCCGAGAAGGAGCTTACATTGAAGTAAGTTTCGGCATGGTGGTAGGCTTTGATGGCCCACTGCAACTCCAGGTTTTCCTGCAAGCAAAAAAACCCCCAAAAAACGAGAAGTTAGAAATTGGGACCCGTGACTTCTGGACGAGATCCCTTTTCACGCACAGTGCCTCCGACGCCTCCTTTTAATCTACCCTGAACATCATCAAGAACCACTCGCAGTACGAAGGAACTAGTTGATGTTTCTTTTCAACCAACTAGAAAGTTCCAAGACAGATCTTTAGAGGTGCAAACTTACGTCATTGCCGTATTCCTCGGCTGGTCTTGTTAATGCATGGGCAGCCGCGCTCATTCCCTCCACCCCCTGAGATAAAGAAAAAAGTAGAACACAAATCAATGGCCAATACCATAATATGTGTAGAGTCTAGTATCTCATTACCAGTTTCTAAATAGAAGGGGAAACTTCTCTTCTTCCCCAAAACTGTACAAATTTAATTGGAATCTCCAATTTCCACTGAATCCTTCAGTTGGTGCATTAGACAGTTCAAGACTGTTTTGGCACATTTGGGGGGGGGGTGAAATCTGACATATATAACATGTCTGAGGATTTTGATTTGGTGTTTGAGCTGTTTGATGGAAATGGAAATCAAAGGTGCACAAACGCATGAAAAATTCTAAAAGATTCTACTAGTACTATCGCCGGCCCTGTCAAATGTTAAGAGACAATTCCTATGCAATTCGCTCTGTGCATGCTGCCGCCATAGGCATGCAGAGCCTAGACCTGGCATGCTTGTACAATCGCGTCAGAATCGTTTTGTCTAATCACATAGTATAAGAACTATTGTACCATGCGCAAAATTACGTAAGCAACATAATGTACACAAGAATCACTGAACCGGGTTATATTTATCATGTAAAGCTGCCAGATCGAAGCTCTGCATGCCTGTGGCAGTGGCATACAAAGAGCGAATACACGTCTGTATATGTACATGGTGTAAGCATGGTCAGATGTAGCTCCAGACTACATGTACATGTACCTCTGTGTACAAAGGTAGTCCAGTAGACTGGCCCCCAGCCTGGGGCTACATGTAGGTCAGATGGTGAGCCGTGCGTGAGGAGCTAGGCCTACCATAGACTTGGCTCAAGTCGGGATCTCTGCGACATCTTTGTTTCTGCTTTGGATACATATCAAGACCGCGCGCCGTTACTTGCTTCGGGCCCTCTTCTGTGTCCACTATGAAATCCTAACTTGACGAATTTGCGAACTGCTTGTACATGTACACAGAGAATGGGCTCATCAACCATAAGTGGTGGCAGCCTATCACATTGCAAGACTTGTTTTTATGTTGTTCATACCAGCATTATAACATGTATAATGAACGTGTCTACTACTAGTACAAGTCTGACTACTTTGATTGTTGGAAATTCCATATATATTTTGTAAAATCATGTCGTTAATATGCAATTATCAATAACTACATATCACCAATGGGGGGGTCCGATTAGCTTATCCATTAAGTCGGATTTACTGACTGGTGACGTACATGTATGACACACGTTGTGTAATAAACTAAATGAAGGTGCCTAATAATAAGGGTTATGTGAGCTGCCGGGCTGCTTGCGACAACCGAATATATGTGGGCTGACTGGGGAAAGCAACATTAACATGTAACGTTCATAACGTTAAGTCCGACTCGATTCAAGTCTAGGCCTACCAAAGATTTCAAAACTTCAGAATCCATTGTTTCGGCCGCGGCCAAATCCGGTGGAAACTTTAGTCGAAGGTTCAAGGTGAACGAGAGTGTGTACTGTGTAGTATCTTTTTTTTCAGTTGAATACACAGGGTAGTCTACGACACTTTGAGCTGACGCGTCAGTCGTAAGTACTACAACATGAAGTTGTACTCGGTACGCGATCACACGAATGACTCGAGTTCAAGCGTGGATAGGATCAGGAATGAACACAATGGGCGCGCCTATGCATACTGTATTATGACATGTACATGTACATGTTCAACACGTAAATAGTGGCTGAGTCTGGATAACAGACTTGGGGAAAAGGTCCCGACTAGTTTTTGGCAATAATGTACTGTATCTTTACACTAAACCTAAAATATTAAATTAGACTGTATGTGACTTGTTTTGTAGAAATAAAAATCAATCTTTATGTATGTTTGTATTTTTAAAACCTTTTATTTGGAAAGAAGAAATAAAAGAAATGATGTTAATGATAAAATTAAAGAAGTGATTTTAGGAACGTCACAAACATCTGCAAGCTCCATGGTTCCCTTAGCCTTACAACGTGATTAACGTAGGCGTGATTTTTAATAGCACACGGTACCAGCGAACTGAACATAGCGCCTGTACTTTTTGTACGTACGTACGTACGTACGGCCGGCCGCGGGGTAGAAAAGTATATACACTGTACATGTACATGCATTATGTTGTATGAGTGATCTATCTGAAGGGTGGTACTGGTGACGACGGTAGGCTGTCCTCGAATTATTTTTGTAAATTTGACGGTATCCCACGACAAAAATGGAGATCAGTACTATGAATGAAGATTCAGTATCAGATTTACCAGACGGGATGGTGAGTGTTTTTCTTTTGACATAATGACCCTTTTTTTTTCATCATGAATCACGACACGAGTTCCACTCATCAATTTTCACAAATTTCAGTGTTAATGGGCCAGCTCATTGAGCTTGGTGAGTAGTCATGATCATTGATAGTGATAATGTATGTTACATTTCATTTGGGCGGCTTGGTCATCATGATGGTACAACTATAGAATACATGTACAGGCCCATCAGGATCATCATATCAGCACAATCAGATGAAGTGAACTGTTCTTATGCTGTGTTTTGTTATTGAATTCACTGAGTTGCTCACCCCAGTGTATACATTTACATTGTAGGGCCTAATATACGGTCATTATGAATGTCATGTTGATATTGTTGAGCAGTGAACGGTGGAAAGAGTTGTCATGGACTTTTGGTTGTGTACCATGGCGTAGCCGGAGGCCTGGACATCACTTGACATCCTGTATACAGACTCAATGTCCAACATGCCTGAACACAAAAAATGTGCACAAATTGCAGTGTTTTTGTAGACCTAAGCCTATAGTAGGGGCTTACATTATATGTATTTCCGTGTCTCTTCCTAAATTGTGCTCCCTGCTAGCTGAGTTTGACTTTTTGTAACATCGCATGTGCTTCTGTGTTTGGAATTCTTCCCTAAAGAATAATAAAGATGCTCTTTTGCCCTTTTGGAGGCTTATGTCTGTAAAGTCGCCAGGTCCCTAATTTCGCGGCCTTTGGTCAAGTCTCACTGGTTTTCACAGTAAGTGGCGAAATAAGGGACCAAGTGACTGTACCGTCTTGGATGTTAGAAAGAATGACACCACTTCTTCAGGAAGTTCATCCTTGCATTTGGTTGTTACAAAGTCAACAACAACATTTGACTGGGTCAACAACATTTCCAGAACTGAAAAAGATTGGAAATGTTTAATCGTTTTTCAGTCTCAGAGTTCATAGGCCTTGTCAGTTCTTGTAAGGCCAATTTTCTGGACAACCTGTGTACATGTATGACTGGCCTAGCCCCACTCGTGTGGCACAAACTCTCACTCCGGCTCCCGCTCCATCCTGAGCCACACATCCGTATACGCAATTTCGTGTCGGTGTGCTGAACATTTTCAGCGCACCCACTTACATGTATCATCGTGGGCGCAATTTCTTTTGCACACAGCGATGATCCTTAGCCTCTCTGCTTTCTTAGCGCCATTTATTGAATGATTTCACTCGTGTTGTTCTGGTATTTTCCAGTCTTTCTGCCTTCACCCATTCAATCTCACGGGCTCGCTCTCACAGTTGCCATCTTTAAAATAAGGTCGTTGAACATTATGTCACTTGACCCCTCATTGTCTTAATGGCTGTTCCATGTCAAGACTTATCTAATACACAGACTTAGCGATAAGACAGTACATGTACCAACAGGCTCTTCCAAAACTTGGGCAGCAGATTAGTTGGGCTATAAATGGCCATATCTAGAGGGCTTGTTGCCACAGGGGCCTTCTACGGTAGGCCTACATACATGTACATGTATACATTTATGACTGTATGTATCGTACATGTACATGTATGTACCCCTGAAACTATAGGGCTCTCCATTTAGAGAGGCAGAACAAGGAGCCCCGAAGCCCTAGTAGCCCCTACATGTAGGTGTACGCACCATGCCGACACCTCATGGCTGTTCTATTACATGTACATGTGTTTATGGCTGCACACATCAAATGTGTCTAGTTTCTGTACACATGTACAGTATGTACCAGATGTCTGCGAGGAAACAGCCATGAGTTTTTGCTCCTTTGCATAAACACTGATGAAACTTCTGTGAGCACTTTTGGCTTGTGGTTTACAAACAGTGAATATAGGCTCAGATCTTAACAGTGAGATGTTAAATTTGTCTTTCATTCCTAGTTGATGTGATTTTCAAGGTTCTTTGGGAAAATTAAGGAAGTCTTACGCAACGCAAGGGATACATGTTTCATTGTCGAGAAAAAAAAACATGCTCGCATGTACAGGTACATCTACATGTTTGTGTACATGTGCTTGGACATTCATTTGTTTTTGTTAAGTTCACAGAACTCAGAAAATACTCATTCTTTGCCCTGTAGACACCATTTTATGCTGGGATTCTGTTGATTAATCAAAATGATGTCATACCAGACCACAGTTACTGTCACCTCTTTGCTTGAGCTGACCTTGTTTTGACTTGTGGCAAAAATAATGACCCAAATGAGCTGCCTACATGTACATGTACACCTGTGCACTGTGTAGTATGTACTGCACCTCATCTGCAAGGCCAGTTTCATACATGTAGCACTGCATAAGCAAAAAAGTTGTTTATGCAGGGGTCGATATTAACAGTGGTCGGCTGGCCCGAGGCCAGTAGAAAAGCCAGCAGACCAGCTGACCTAATAAAACTGGTGGTCCAGTGGGCCAGTTGAAATCTGCATGTCTTTTCTGTCTTCACAAACATCTTTCAATAACCTTCTGTCACATTAAAATGCTTGTTTTGATATGTCTTCCTACTTACAATGTACATTTGCATTTTTGAAGAAAAAACCTGTTATTTTCATGAATTTCCATTCATGTTTCGCTGTTGCAGTGGTGAAAAGACGTGCGTTCAATGCAATAAACCAAGCTGCTCTGGTTCTTGCCGCGCCACGCCCATGCAAAAGAATGCATGATGGAAATGTAGCAATCAGAACCAGTCTGTACTGTACATGTACTGAATGTTCTGTACGTGTACATGTTTACATCGGCCGTACACATCATGAATGCAACCCTAAGACTGCAAGTCGAAAAGACATCGATGTTGCAAGAGGTTTTCTGCAAGTTAATTTACCGAACTTGGTCTCTTATTTATGTATATATTTTCTGCGTTCATGATTTTAATTTGAGCTTGTTCTGCTCGTGGCTCAAGGTTTATCGCCCACCGGTCTGGATGCATCACGCGCACTTACCACACGACACATGGACATTGTTGGCTACACATGTATTTTGCTGTCGCGATCGCCCGAGTAGCACTGTTTGAATTATAAGTTTCTTGTGAATTGCCGAATGTAGAAATTTTTACATAGATTAAGACAGGTGTTAATCACTTCTTGAGATAATTTTGGAAGCTGTCGTCCCCACTGATGCATTCAATCTGCAAAAAAAATCCCCCCCCCAAAAAAAATTCCGAACTACCGATCCTCTTTTTGGGAGGCATTGCACAACTGTTCGGGGGACTAATACCAGTAAAAGACTGCATGTATTGCAGTAGGCCTAAGTTAAAAAAACGTAATAATCGTAGATTCTGAGAAATCTTGGGCAAGTGTTGATCCTATTTGGGCAAACAAATTTATGGCATGGCCTGCCCGATCGGGCAAACTAAAAAAAAAAGGCCAATTTGTCGTTGCCTGCGCCCTAACAAGGATTGCTCAATGCGGCTACGTGTGTGATTCTGGTATGGGACCACCAAACTTTCAGCAGGACCAGTGAAAATTTTGAAGTACTGGTCCTGCTGGTTACTAGGAAAAAAAAGATCAACTTCTACCCCTGTTACGAGTGACAAAAACCTTGGTTAGCATGATGACAATCACATAGAGTTTGAGCTGGTAACCTTTGTTTATTAGGCAATGTTTTTGTCTCTTTTATTCTTTGCTCAAGCAGCTCTATGAAATTGGCCCCTGGTAGTTCTTTGAATGAAGAAGGTATTCGTCATCCATACACTTACAAGTAATTTCAGTATATTTCCACTTGAAATATAAAAAATGAGGTTTACAGAACCAAAGTACACGTAGTTGATCCAACCTGGACTATCAAGTAGCAAACATCCATTTGTTTTTCTTGAACCCATGAGCATTTCTCCGATCCCCAGATATGTGTAATTCATTTTGTGGTTTGGTGCAGATTCACAGCCTGCAAGTGTGTACGTACAGGTACATATGTACATATACAGCGCTTTCTGCATGCGGGACTACTGAGGCATGCGAGCGAGTAGCAAATGATCATCAGTGTCCACTGACTTGCCAGCAAAAACATGCTCAAGCAATAAACTGCAACAATCTACGTGATCTAGGAGAGCAAGAAACAGTCCCAACAACTTCAGGCCATGTTGTTTTTCCTCACTGTACAGCATGACTCTGATTGATTGGCTGCCGGTAGGACATGGAGGAAGATGATACATTGCACATGTAGACCTTGTGTGGTGTCACAGATGCTTGGCTACATGGCAAATGAGTTTTTGTGCTTTATTTTCCAGCACACAGTACATGCATATGTATGGATGTAAGAAGGTAAACATAATTATAGAGTACATGTACATGTACATTGTATGTTGTGAATAGCCATAGCATGAGATGACTAATATAAAAATAGGTGGAGCTTTCCTGCCCATAGTACAAGTACTCTGTCCATGGATATGTACATGTACGTGTGCACATGTACATGTATATATGTCGGTTACATACTTGTACAGTGTAGATCATCTGCAAATTTATGGGCCAGCATATGGGACATACACAGACATGTACATGTACAAATGTAGTTTGAGTGAATCATCTATGCAAAGTATGGGCTCAGGTGTACCTGTGTAATTGTTAATACATGTTCGTGTAAATTTCATGTTTGCACATGAATTACGAAAACTACACATGTACATATGTTGAGCTGTTCATCATGTACATCATCCAAGGTACAGATGTACGTGCACATGTACATGAATTGAATAGTATACCAATGCAGACTTGGAGACTAACATTGGGGCAGTTCAGTGCTAAACATACACTTACACTGTACATGTACATGTAAAAGGTGGAAATAAAGTACATATGTGGTAATGTTAACGTTCTCATGAATAATTTTTAAACCAAAAAAAAGAGTCAAGGTTTTTGACCCAAAAGCCATTGGAAGTGATGTTAGTACCGTTACCTTTATCCCCCTTTCAATTCATTTCTTCATACAAATTTGTGACTGTGGGTGTAAATTACATTCACTTGTGCTGTACATGTATGACTAAAAATGAAGTCGCCATCAATGTGATCAAAATGCCCACTTTGGCACTTTTGCCGTGGAATTGCCCGTTGTTCATGTTCAGGTGGTGCAATGGATTTGATTGGTGTCTCGAGGACAATGCACCTGAGTTCATGTAATGTATTTGGAGTACATGTACATGTATATGTATATACACAGATTAAGGTGTTTCAGGTGTTTGCTAGTGATGCGTCACACCGTGGCCACACATTATGGCTAATGGGCTCATACAGGATGTTGGTCATTTTTCCTGATGAATAGCCTTCCACTTTTGCACTGTGGGTCCTTTGTACATTGTTGTAATATGTGCTCACAGCCCTGTGGATAACATGAACGGGCAAGACAGACACCAGCCAGCACATATTATTTGAATGACCCACTCATGAATCCACAAATGTTAAAATAGCATGAGTCACAGGAAAAGCATCACATGTAGTTTGAGATTAAAAAAAAAAACTCATTTGAGGGCGTGCATGTACCTTTTACAGTTGCAAATTAGCATGATATCATCTGTAACTAAATATTCAACTGTTGTGTGGCTTCATGCATCAATTGAAATAATGCACAGGTCCCATAGGCCAGTCATATCAGGTTCCACTATTGCAAACTGCCAGAGTTTCAGTTAGGTACATGTGTACCAGTACCCTGCCGTACTCATTACATGCGCATGTAGGTACAATATGACGCACATGTACAGTACATGTACATGACCCAGTTGTGTGCGTACATGTACATGCCATGGCGGCGTTTCATAATTTGTGAAATCGAAGACAGGGCTATGAGATTACCACAGTCCAGGTTCACCGCATGCGGGTATAAAGCACCGACCAATTACGAGGTGCAGAACGGACCAAGCTGAGGCTGACCAGCAGGCAATCTGGTCTAGGCAGCAGGGGGGAGGGGGGCTGAAGCTGTTCCCTCCCACAGGTACAGTAATTGCGGTTTGGGCCATCGTCTTAGGTTTGTCTGTCGCCACAGTAGCTTCTATTAGAGATGGATGAGAGAGATGTGGAGAAATGTCTAGATGCTGAGATTAGCATACAAGTACATGTACATATTCAGGGTATTCATGAAAATATAAATTTACATATTTACCGTATAATTAATTATATTTAAAGTGAAAAAAAAGTCTGTTGTTCATATGTAGCATGCTTCTAAAAACAAGTGCTGCACCTGCAGGATCCTCTTATGGCTCATGTATGTGAACTGTGTACTTTTTAGAGCACAATAGTATTATACAATGTACATGTATGTATGTGTTTATGTAATTCGCGTACGACCCACCATGTTCTGTGTGTGTATGTTGTTGCCCATCTACAGTACATGTGGCACGTACCTGTACATGTACATGTATGTACACATATACATGTACATGGCATTGATAGTGCTGTTGCCATGAATCAAATAGTCAACATTGAGGATGCTATCACTTCCAGGGTACAATGTACATCATACATGTAGCTGTACCGGTATGTGTTCATTTGTACATTTACAGCAAGGAAGCACATGTCTCGACGTACATGTAGGATACTTGCATAATGTACATGGACCCCCCCCCGGTACATGTAAAAGTTGTATACTGTTATTGGAAATCAGGAACTTGAAAAAAGGATGTTAATTGTCATTAATTGTACTGTATGTGCATTCTCATTTGCTTGTGTGTGCAAATCAATAAATCTGGCTAGTCCAAGCAAAGTTGCCGCTTAAAAAGTTACAGTTTTCAGGCAATGGCCTGATTTCAGGTAGTTTTTCTTGAAATGTTGGGCCAATTTCAGGCCGTAACAAGGTACATACATGTACAATGTATACATTTTTTTACTGTAGGCTTCTCTGGCCTTCATGTCAGGCTCTGGATGAGTACATGTACATGTATTTGTCTGGCATCCCTGTGCTTCATAAGCGTGGACGTGTGCTATTTATTGACCAGAATCCTTGGGAAATCCCACATTTTGAAATATATGCCGGTATTTCAGGAAAACAAGTTGCCAACATTGTCATTGATGTAGGGACTTCCCCTACTCTCCCACTCAACTATACAAACGTACACGTACATTGTAATCCTTCCGGATTTCAAGAGCAGGTGAACATGCATTGTCTACATGTAGTTTTTGCATTTTATGATCATGAGCAGTATACATGTATGCATACGTGGAATGATGAATACAGAATAGACAGTGTTGTACGGGTACATTTACAGTACAGTACATGTAACGTACAGTTACATTTTATGTAGCGGTTCCTTTTCATTGGCGGAAGTCATTCTCTGGGCTTGTATGCATGTACACCGGTATCTCTTTCAGCTTGCTTAGAGGGTGTGATCTGAAAACTGTTGCATTTTTTTGTTGGTTTTGTTGACTGGTTGTATGTAATGTTGACCCAGTTTTATCTTTCTATTTTACTGTGTCTTGATTGACCCAAGGCTTTGATTCATTTTTCAAAATCACACGCCTAGAAAAATTGCACGGCTGGAAATGTGCAGAAGTGGTTTTTTTTTCACACGCCTGCTATTTCCAAATCACAAGGACTGCTTTTATTCCCATTCTAATTGAAATGAAGTCACCTGCATGTTTCAGACAGGGGAACAGCTCAATGCTAGCACACATGTACATGTATTTGATTGATGCACGGATTCCAAATTTTAAAATTGCACCAGACTTACATGTACATCTACAAGAAAATGTCTTGTTCACCCCAGAACTACATGTAATACGTGACTTGAAATCTTCCAATTATGAAGACTTCAGCTCATAACAAATTTGACACAGTCAATATTAAATATAGCAGGGTAAAGCATCTTCCATGAATATTTTTGTACGGCAAAAGCAGGTACGAAAAAATAAACTGATTATACATTCACTTTGTAAATTGTGCTGAGTTTCTTGTCATTAAAGGTTTAAACTCAAGGATGACCATACAGCTCGAAGTTAGAACAAAATAAAAACCCGGTTTACAGCATCCTAGGAGACATGAACACATACGTTTACATGTACATGTAGTCAGGTAGTGTGCTGTAAATGTACATGTAATGTGATAATTCTTTTGAAATATATATTGGCAGTTTCACCCCGTCTAGATCAATGGTCACAAAGGTCCATTCTGAAGTGCACCGGTGCATGTGTATGACTTTTCTCACAAAAACATTTTCATTTGCAGCTACAGTGTACATGTACATGTTAGTAGATTTGCACCACAATCCATGTACTGTTACATGAAATTTAATGGCATTTTTTTCCTACAGTACAGTGTATCATACTGTACATGGATCCCTGTTATACCAGGCAAGATATGGAA